TGAGGATCCACAGTCATAATCTACAAGCTGAGAAGCGATTGGCGTTTTGGGGAGACAAGGGAATTGTCCGCACTGCAAAAATAAAGAAACCCTTACCCACTGCCTATAAACGTGTCCCAAAATACAGCATGTCGTCAACTTGGTGAAGAAGGCCATGCGCATGATGAATCCAGTGATCTTTGGAGGATTTGCTATTCCAGGTGGGTTGCACGAGGTCAGGTTTTCCAAAACTTCCATGGTGGCAGTCACTCTGCAAAGGATCTGGTTGGACAGATGTGACGCGGTGTCCAAAGAAAAGAGACTCCATGTCAAGAGTGCGCTAAGGCAAATCGAGATGGCCCTTTGCATATAGGTGGCATCATGTTCAGGTAGGGGAGAAAAACACAGCATGAAGAAACACAACAAGGCCGGATTTGTGGCGCCGAATCGAGTTTGCTGAAGTGGAGTAAAGGCATCTCGTGTGACAGTACGACCCCATTACACTTCTTTCTCATTTCTAAATTTCTTCTATATCTTATTCTCCTCTTTATCCTGATTCATTTTCTCTTTATCTCATCTCATTTGGATTCCTATTCCTCATTTTCCATTATCCTTCGGTATATCCTATTATTGTACTTATATTACCGACCAGGCTCGGGGTGTACTGGCGCGCTATATCTAGCGTAAACCTGTCGTAATCCCTTAAAGCCAATATCCTCACATGGTTATACGCAGTGTGATTCTATTTCTAGACGGGTCTATTCCCTTGGGATAGGATAAACCTGGTTACATCATATACCTTGGAGTATAAAAATATCTTGTATCGATCGATAGTGCAACTTTTTCTCGACCATTTCGATCCTGTGACACTTGGTAACCTGAGCACTTCTCATTCGTCCACGCTCAGCTAAGCAGCAGCAGCAGGAAAACCCGCCTCGAAATGCCGTCGGGGGCGACTAATTCGGCGCCGATACTAATAAGCACCAGCTGCGTTTTTTTCATTAACCCCTCCGCATGTGTATTGAAGAGGATGGTGAACTTCGACAACGCCGAGGTTACCCAGCAACTCTTTGCCCGCAGCCGCCCTACAGGAGGAGATGCGAGCCGGCCACGAAGCTTAGCGAAACGAAATTCGAGCGAGAAACTCCACTCGTCGGCGCGCAGCACGAGACGACAACGGCGAGGACGCAGCCGTCGCAGCAGTTTCTCGAGGCTCCGAAGTCGCGCCCACTTGAGCTGTTCGATCCGAGCGATCGAAATTTTGACTTTCACAAATGGATCGCCAACATGGAGATCTACTTCGCAGTCGTTGAATGGAGCTCGCTGGTTTGGGATGGACAACACGTGCGGCTCGCGGCAACACTGATGTGAGGGCCAGCACTCGAGTGGATCGGCGGCAACAGTGCATTCATCCACGGCGAGGCCACGTGGCAGCAGTTCCGCACCGACCTGCTGAAACGTTTCAAGCCGATAAATTTGGGTTTCCTTGTTCTGTAAAAAAATCATCGCCATCGACAGTTTGGGAGTTTAGCGCACTACACGTAGTAGATTGAGGAATTTGATAACCGCACTCTTGACCACACCAAAGGGGAAAAAGTGTAATCGTACCTCGCCGAGCTGAAAACCGAAGCCAAAGGACAGGTGGCAACGACGAATTTTGCGAGCTACAGTGACGTCGTTTCAGCAGCGGAGCGGTTTGACATTGAAGACGCTGGAACACGACGGGCGCACGTCGCAGTTCGCGATAGGGCGACCGCTTGGCACACCCCACATTTGCCGACCTGATGGAAATCGACAGGTTTGATGGGCAACCACGTCCGGAAAACGCCAATTTCATGTGCGATTTTTTGCGGAGTGCTGGGTCATCGAATCTTCAACTGCAGCAAAATGAAAGCTGCACATGCAGAGTATCGGGCGCGCAACAGTGGCGGAAGCTCTTTGACCAATCAGAAGACAAAAAATAGGAATTGCCAGTGATTTCAGGTCTACTGTAGCTGGCAAAAAGTAAAAGATCTGAGAGCGGCCGCAGGATATCATAAATCAACTTCGACGAAGCTGATTCGACGCAAGCAGGAGGAAATGATGGGGAAAAATCTCGACCCCACGACCAGTCTTCGCCAGGGAAAATTGCCAAGCAAAATTCAGATTCCACAAAAAAAAGACTCTACCGAGACGGGGAAACTCTGAGAAGACCCAAGAAATGATGAAGATTCATAACATTAATCTTATAATGATGCTTTGATGAAATTTTTATGATTCACGAGAGGCTAAAGCCTTGGAGATGTTTCAGAAGGGACTCCAAAAGAAGCAGAAAATTGCGGAAATTATACCGGTACCGGAGAACTTGGTGAAACAACTAGGAGCGTGGAAAGAAGCCGACCTTTTCAGAGTCAACGTCCTCTCCCGACACCAGCCTAGAACGACTACCCATTCCCCAGGGAAGACGTCGGTGGAGCAGAAGCAGCTCAAGAGGAAGGTGGGGGTCTATAAGAAGCTGCAAAAGCCTCGAACTCCTCCTTCAGATGCATCCAGCTCAGCAACTTCGACATCGACGACACACACAGTCGTCAAAGAAACTCCGGGCCCTGGAGAAGAGCCTTTCTCCAAGCAGCCTCAACCAGCTACCCGCTCAGGAGTAGATAGCAGCGAAAATGTGTGTACGCGATTTGAATTTCGTGGGAGAGCTGCACGGCAACCCCATTATCGCAGTGTATGCCTTACTAATTAAAACATGTGATAAGGAAATACCATTTCCTTACACCCTCCCTCCTCCAAGGTATGGTCTTAGCTAAGACTGCCGACGTCGTGCACATTGCGTGACTGGAGGTACACTCGTAACACTGGGTGATTCTCGATCTGTGCCAGGGGCACCAAACTGATTTCCAGGGCTGTCCGGTCCTTCCAAGATATCAGAAACTCGATCAAGCGGGCCCCTATAGGGTCCTTGATCCGATGGCTGAGGATCTTTGCAGGTTCGACTGTAGGCTCGGCGAGCGGTCGGATGTTCGGGTTCGCTCAATGACGTGGCAATTTACTGGTGCGGGCGATGTATGGTCGAAGTAACCGCACGCGGAATGATGGTCTGGCATTCCAGGTGGCTGGTAATAGTAGATGGGCTGTAATAGAAGATACCACCTGTCTGATGGTAAATGGTCCACAGTAGAGGGGGCGAAGTTTTGGGACGATGGGCAGTTGAAGGTTCTGGGTGTCGAGCAGTACTAAGTCTCCAGCCTGGTAAGTTATTGCTTTTCGGTGTAGATCGGTGTTGCGCTTAAAAATAACATTCGCACGCTTAATGGCTTCGGCTGCTCGCTCTCGGCATTCTGTAATATTTCGGCGAACTGTTAAGCTCGCGGTATTGGATCTTCGATGTTCGGCATGAATGGTACTGTAGGGTTTTGTCCGTAATTCAGGTAGAATGGTGATTGTTGGGTAGTGGCGGACGGGGCGTTTTTATATGCGAACTCAATCAGTGGCAGTTGTTGCTCCCATTTTGCCACGTTATCGCAGGTGGCGTGAAACAGCTGCTCCATTGTCTGACTGGCCTGTTTGGTCTGTCCGCCAGTCTTGGGGTGGTAGGCAAAGGAAAATTGCAGGCACGTGCCAAACTGTTCCCAAAGGTTGCGCCAGAAATTGCTGGTGAATTTGTGTTACGATCCGAAATGATGGCGGATGGGATTGCGTGGAGGCGAACGACGGTCGAGATGAAAAGGCGGGTTGTTTCTTCGAATGAGATGCTTTTCTTGCAGGCGGCAAAGTGGGCCATCTTCGTCAGCTTATCGATGACGACAGGTTTTGCTTCATTGCAGACGTCCATGGCATGCAGTCCCGTAACGAAGTCCATCGTCACCTACTGCCATGCACGCTCAGGTGGCAGAATCGGCTGCAACTGTCCAGCTGGCTTCTACTTTGATGATTTCATGGTCTGGCAGATTCTGCACGAAATCACATGCCGCTGCACGCCCCCTTACAAGTCGGGCCAGAAATAATATCTGATCAAATGTTGTCGTGGTTTCTCCACTCCGAAGTGTCCCGAAATGGTACCGACCCGGGCATCCTGTAGCAGTAATTCCTGTGATAAACTGTACTCCGGTACCCATATGCGGCCAGTCTTTGTCATTACGTAATAGACTCCCTTAGCCGTTGCAAGCTGTTCGTACACACTCGACGTAAAGAATATGTCCGTCAGGTACCCGTGGTTAAATAGTCTTGTCAGTAGTGAGGATATTTGGGCGAGGATGATGGAGTTGAGATGGGCGGATGGGCGAAAAAGGGGTCGGCAATATTCGATGCCCCATTTTTGTAGGTGACCATGTAGTGGAAGTTGGATTCCATGAAATCCGACCACCTGATTTGTCGTGGGTGGAGTAGTGGCTGTGCGCAGATGTACTGTACTATAGGTTGCGATGGTCTGTCCGTACTGTCACGTCCGCGCCCGTCAAATAGCACCGCCACACTTTGAAGGCGTGCACGATCGTGAGCATCTCTTTATCGTATAATGGGTAGTTTTGCTCGGGCAGGTGTAATTTTCGTAACTCATACGCGATTGGCTGTAGACCCTCGCCAAAGTCATGTAACAGTATTGCTCTGATGGCGATGTCGTTGGCGTCAGTGATTATTTCGAATGGATGGTGGGGATCGGCGACGCGAAGGACAGGGGCTGAGCAAAAAAGGTTTTTGAGTGCAGAGAAGGCAGCTTGCCCTTTCTCTCCCCCCACCTATACTTAGTCCCGTTCCGCAGCAGGTCAGTTAACAATGCATTTACCCCCGCCATATTTGAGAAAAATCGCCGAATATAATTGACGAACCCAAAAAATATTTGCAGCTCCTAGAGGTTCTTAGGTGGTAGCCATGCTTGCATTGTCTCGATTTTGCACAGGTCCACTTCAACGCCCTTAGTGGAAATAACGTGTCCCAATAAACTCGCAATTAGACCCAGTCGTGAGTTGCCAATGCTTCTACGTAGCGGGGAAACTGCTTTGAGATCCTTTAAGTGCTGCTCCCGGGTCTCGCTGTGTATCAGTATATATCCAAGTAGACTACAACATACTTATCCACAAGCGAACTGAAGTTCTGGTTCATGGTCATCTGAAAAGTCGCCTGGGCGTTCGTCAAGCACTAATGGCATAACTACATATACGAAGCTCCCATACCTAGTACAAAATGCGGTCTTATAACAGTCAGTTGCGACTACGCGAATCTGATGGTAACCCCCTCGTAAATCTATTTTCGAGAAGAGGCGAGCTCTACGAAGTTGGTTGATTAGTTCCCACTAAGATCGGCGTGTGGGATATGGTAATGCGAATTGATAGTCACTATGTTCAGTGCTCTGAATTTAATGCATTCAGTACCCGCCGTCTTTCTTGGGGGTGAATAGTATGGGGACGGCAAATGGCGAGGAGCTCCGGCGGATGATATTTTTTCTCCAGTAAATAGTCTAACTGTTTCCGTAGTTCCTTTAAATCCGGCTCTGTCACTCGAAATTGCCGCTGAACTGTGGGTTGTATCCCCGGTTCTAATTCGATTCGATGGTCGAAGGGCCATTCCGGTGGTGATCCCTCGGGCAGGTCGTCTGGGAATATCGGCAAGAATCTACAAATCAGCTGCACTAGATCGGCCGGCCTATTGTCAACTTCTCTAAATCGGATGGTTGCGATGCCATGTCGATGGCGCGAACGACGACAACGAAGACTTCCGCGCCCCGTGCGACTGCTCGTTTGATCGCCATGGATTTCACCTGCGTCACTCCCCCTGTGATCCCCTTCGCTCATTCTGGTTACATCACACTACAGGCGTTGATTCTGATGGAATAGCTGCCAGTCGTCCAGTCTATTTTTGGATTGAAGTGACGACGCCAATCCCGTCCCAGCAGCGTGTCGAAGCCGTCGAGTGTAGTTGCCAGCATCCCCATTGAAATTTTGAATTCGGCTCCACAACAAACCCTAATCCTGTCCGCCCTGCTTTTATTGCTAACGGGGTCCCGTCGACTAGTCGGTCGTCAATCTCTGGTAGACACCTGTCTAAGGGTAACTTATTTTTGTTGTCCGTGACGAGGTTGATCAGACTATGGCTGACGCCCCGTCCACGAAGATTATATTTTTTCCCCCTTGAATCCTACCCTCTAAATACAGTAAATGGGGTAATCCGCCACTGCACCCTCCTTATTCAACCGAGTTTAGTCGATTGCGTGGATCGGTACTAGTACTCGATGAGGGTCGTCGGTTACGTGCGAGCAGGTTCCATCAGTAGAATGCTCGTTAGCTACTAATACTAAGTGGTTTCCTGATCGTTGAAACTCCCCTGCCCCTGATTCTACTTCTTCTGCTCCTCTGTGCATTCTGACTTGCGGCGTCTTGGCCTGTTACAACCAAAACAACGACGTTTGAAGGTTGTAACTGCTGAATTCAATGTTGTAACAGCGTGTACAGTGGCACGCTCAATTGGTCCCCGAATGCGACTTCCGTTATAGGAACCCACCCTTGGGTTGAAGAACGAATCCAACCGCTCCGCAACCCTCTGCGCATCCATCAAATCCATAATTTCACTGACTTGTATTTTTCTGCGCAGATCCGGTCGAAGTCCTCCGATGTATACGTCGAATGTCTCGTCAAGGTGAATGTAGCTGACATGGTCGTATAAAATTTTTAAATTGCTTGTGTAGTCTTAGACCAATCCGATTTGGCACCACGTGCGAAGGTAGTCGCGCGCTTGACTGTTTGCGTTGACGTGTTCAAATCGGCGATGAATTCCCGCGCACCACGATTGCCACGTGCTGTACTCGTCTACTTCGCAATAACTTTCTGCTTAGTGATTGGTCATGCGAAAGCGCCCGATCACGCGCGTCGTCGTATCCGGCTCCTGCGACTGAATTATATGCTGGCACTAATCCATCGCCGGTCCACGTTGGAGCGACACGATGTATCGGATTTTTTGTGCATTGTCGACGACGAGGTTGCGTTAGTAGAAAACGTCATGGTGAATGATCCTTCTGCTGATGGAGAAACTGCCCTACTGGCTTCGGCCAAACGTGGGCGGTCTCTGCGTCTTGAGAATTCTCGGCGCCATGTTGATACTTGCAGTTTGCAGGCCGGTTGGAGAGGTAATAGGGGCGGCTGATTTACAATCACCCCTTCGCCAACTTTTGCTTGTCCAATAGCCGGTGGCAGGTTGTTCGTCGAACCCTCAGGCGAAGCCGCATGTGGTCGCTGATTGTTGCGAGGTATTTCGGAACGCTGCTAGGTTGCTTGCTCCTGTTGTCCTTGGTTTGTCGTTGGTGCAATCGTGCCGTGTCATATCTGAGGCATTTGGTTCCGTAGTGTAAATATCTCGTATTCAGTTTGGGCCGTTTCAGCTCGCAGACGCCCCAACTCCTACAGATACAACCCCTTCGAGTGCTGCTGCCCCTTCTTCATGAGTCATGGTGGTAGACGCCGACGGATCCACCATTTTGCGGAAAGTTTTGGGCAGCTTTCGGCACGCTGACACTTCGAACACAGTCGTGACTGTAGGTAATTATCAATTAGTATTACCAAGATAGCAGATATGCAGTAAGCACAGGTTGTTAGCCTCCCTAAGTGTTGGTATTGCAGCGGAACTAGAGCACAATGCTAAGGATCGTTGGCTCTGATGGCCAAGTGTAATGAAGCTCACATAGCGTGTGTTGAAGGATTGAGTAACGAGGAAACAATACAACTGAGGCAACATAAAAATAGCAGGGTGTCAACTTATACATATATTGTTATATAGAAGTTATAGGCTATATAGGGTATGTTCTTAGTGGGTACAATCCAAACGCTATATCTCCCTTGTTCTCCCTTGTTCTAAAAATTCATTCTATTCTTAACATGGTATCACAAGTAGGTAGGTCCACCCACCCGCTTTTGCCCCGTGCCGCCACCTACCGCGCCTCGCTAGACCTAGCTGGCCCTCGCGTCCCTACTGGCCCGTCGCGCCCCTAGCCGGCCCCGTCGCGCCCCTACAGCCCCGTCGCACCCCTACGGCCCCGTCGCGCCCCTACGGCCCCGTCGCGCCCCTACGGCCCCGTCGCGCCCCTAGCCAGCCCCGTCGCGCCCCTACCAGCCCTCACGCACCTAGCCGGCCCCGCGCGCCCCTAGCCGGCCCGTCGCGCCCTACCGGCCCCTCGTGCCCCTAGCCGGCCTAGCACACCCCTACGGCCCCTCGCGCCCCTAGCCGGCCCAGTCGCGCCCCTAGCCGGCCCCGTCGCGCCCCTATGGCCCCGTCGCGCCCCTACAGCCCCGTCGCGCCCCTACGGCCCGTCGCGCCCCTACGGCCCCGTCGCGCCCCTAGCCGGCCCGTCGTGCCCATATCAGCCCCTCGCGCCCCTAGCCGGCCCCGCGTGCCCCTACGGCCCTCGCACCCCTACCGGCCCTTGTGCGCCCTAGCCGGCCTCGTGCGCCCTAGCCGGCCCTTGCGCCCCTACCGGCCCCTCCCAATCTCGCCGGCCCCTTGCGCCCGAGCTGGCCCCTCGCATCCTAGCTGCCCCCCCCCCCCCCCCCTCGTCGTCCCCGCCGGCCCTCCTTGGCCTCCTGCTCTGTTGTCCCTGCTGGAGCACCCTTCAGCCGCGCAGCTGAGCAGCCGTATTGCTGTGCCACTGTCCAGCCGAGCCGCTGAGCTGCCGTGACCCCGAGCTGTCGTGCCCCCGAGCCGCCAAGCCGCCGTGTCGCTGTGCCGCTGCACCGCTGAGCCGCAGTGCCGCTGTCCCACCGTGCGATGCCGGACGCCGTTCTTCGCTTGGACGCTGAGGGGCACGCGATCGACTTTGCCGCCTGGCTCGTCGATCTTCACCGGCACCTGACAGGTCAGCGCCAGGATGGGCATTCCCTAGCTATGCATGTTGATGGTTTGCTCCCCCGCCCCCCTGCACCTGATGCCCTCCCTGCTGACCCTACCACTGCTGAGAGCGAGGCTTTTGCTGCGGCTGCGCTTGCTCGAGCTGACTGGGATTCTCGCAATGCAGTAGCGCAGCTTGCCATTAGCAATGCCCTTCCCCTGTCTGAGCGTCCACGCTTCAACACTGTTGCGAATGCCAAGGACATTCTCGCTGCAGTAGTTGAGCATTGCTCCACCCCTACTTTCGCCTCTGCTGGCCGCTTGATCCTACCCATGCTCTTCCCAGATCTTTCTGCTTTCCCCACTGTAGCTGACCTCGCCACTCAACTCCGTGCACTAGAGACCAGCTACCGCGTTGCTAGCTCTGCCGCCCAGCTCACTGCCTTCCCTCACCCTTCTGAGCTACCCTGTACCTCATCGCCATGCGCCCACGCGACCACTTCCTTAGTCAGCACCCGGCCGACCTCACCCTGACCGCCTATGTTACTACTCTGTCTCAGATAGAGACTCGCCAGTGCACTATCGCTCAGTCGAGCGGTGTTGCGGCACTCCCCTATCTTTTCAAGGTTGTGCTCCCTCACAGTGCACGTACGCTGGCGTCTCAGCCGCAGTTGCCACGACTGCGCCTGCCCCTGAGACAGCAGCTGCGGCTTACCCGCAGCAGCGCCAGCGCCGGGGCCGCCGTGGCCCAAGGGAGGACATTGGTGGTGGCGCTAGTTGTGAAGAGTACGACCCTGTGCCATTCCTTTCTCCTTTCCATCTTCCTTTCCATCTCATTCCTCTATTTATCCTAATTCATTCGGTATTTATCTCATCTCATTTGGTTTCCTATTTCATTATCATTTGGTTTATCCTATTATTATGATTATATCACCGACCAGGCTCGGGATGTACTGGCGCACTATACTGTATCTAGGTAATCCTGCAATAATCCCTTAAAGCCAATAGACTTGCGTGGCTATACACTGGGTGATTCTATTTTCTATAAGGGTATATTCCCTTGGGATAAGATAGACCTCGTTACCTGATGTACTTTGGATGTATAAAAGCGCCTTGTATCATTCAATAGTACAACCTTTCCTAGACACATCCGATCCTGTAACACTTGGTAATCAGAGCTTTTCTCACTCGGCCGCGCTCAGCTAAGCAGCAGCAGCAGGACTCCTGCCTCGAAAAACCGCCCAGGGCGACCAATTCGACGCCGATTCTGGTAAGCACCAGCTCCGCGATTTTTGGAATTACCCCCTCCGCGCGTGTTTTGAACAGGATGGCGAACTTCGACAACGCCGAAGTTACGCAGCAGCTGTTTGCAAGCATCGCCGCCTACAGGAGGAGATGCGAGCTGACCGCGAAGCTTGGCGAAACGAGTTCGAGCGAGTAACTCGACTCGCCAGCGCGCAACACGAAATGATAACGGCGACGACGCAGCAGTCGCAGTAGTTTCTCGAGGCTCCGAAGCCGCGCCCACCTGAGCCGTTCGATCCGAGCGATCAAAACTCCGACGTCCGCAGATGGATCGCCGGCATGGAGATCTACTTCGCAGCCGTCGGATGGAGCTCGCCAGTCTGGGACGGTCAACGCATACGACTCG